GAGACACCACTGCCCCACCAGAGACACGAGACACCACTGCCCCACCAGAGACACGAGACACCACTGCCCCACCAGAGACACCACTGCCCCACCAGAGACACGAGACACCACTGCCCCACCAGAGACACGAGACACCACTGCCCCACCAGAGACACGAGACACCACTGCCCCACCAGAGACACGAGACACTACTGCCCCACCAGAGACACGAGACACCACTGCCCCACCAGAGACACGAGACACCACTGCCCCACCAGAGACACCACTGCCCCACCAGAGACACGAGACACCACTGCCCCACCAGAGATACGAGACACCACTGCCCCACCAGAGACACGAGACACCACTGCCCCACCAGAGACACGAGACACCACTGCCCCACCAGAGACACGAGACACCACTGCCCCACCAGAGACACGAGACACCACTGCCCCACCGGAGACACGAGACACCACTGCCCCACCAGAGACACGAGCCACCACTGCCCCACCAGAGACACGAGACACCACTGCCCCACCAGAGACACGAGACACCACTGCCCCACCAGAGACACGAGACACCACTGCCCCACCAGAGACACGAGACACCACTGCCCCACCAGAGACACGAGACACCACTGCCCCACCAGAGACACGAGACACCACTGCCCCACCAGAGACACCACTGCCCCACCATAGACACGAGTCACCACTGCCCCACCAGAGACACCACTGCCCCACCAGAGATACGAGACACCACTGTCCCACCAGAGACACGAGACACCACTGCCCCACCAGAGACACCACTGCCCCACCAGAGACACGAGACACCACTGTCCCACCAGAGACACGAGACACCACTGCCCCACCAGAGACACGAGACACCACTGCCCCACCAGAGACACGAGACACCACTGCCCCATCAGAGACACGAGACACCACTGCCCCACCAGAGACACGAGCCACCACTGCCCCACCAGAGACACGAGACACCACTGCCCCACCAGAGACACGAGACACCACTGCCCCACCAGAGACACGAGACACCACTGCCCCACCAGAGACACGAGACACCACTGCCCCACCAGAGACACGAGACACCACTGCCCCACCAGAGACACGAGTCACCACTGCCCCACCAGAGACACGAGACACCACGGCCCCACCAGAGACACAAGTCACCACTGCCCCACCAGAGACACGAGACACCACTGCCCCACCAGAGACACGAGACACCACTGCCCCACCAGAGACACGAGACACCACTGCCCCACCAGAGACACCACTGCCCCACCAGAGACACCACTACCCCACCAGAGACACCACTGCCCCACCAGAGACACGAGACACCACTGCCCCACCAGAGACACCACTGCCCCACCAGAGACACGAGACACCACTGCCCCATCAGAGACAACACTGCCCCACCAGAGACATGAGAAACCACTGTCCCACCAGAGACACGAGACACCACTGCCCCACCAGAGACACGAGACACCACTGCCCCACCAGAGACACCACTGCCCCACCAGAGACACGAGACACCACTGCCCCACCAGAGACACCACTGCCCCACCAGAGACACGAGACACCACTGCCCCACCAGAGACACCACTGCCCCACCAGAGACACAAGTCACCACTGCCTCACCAGAGACACGAGACACCACTGCCCCACCAGAGACACGAGACACCACTGCCCCACCAGAGACACGAGACACCACTGCCCCACCAGAGACACGAGACACCACTGCCCCACCAGAGACACCACTGCCCCACCAGAGACACGAGACACCACTGCCCCACCAGAGACACGAGACACCACTACCCCACCAGAGACACGAGACACCACTGCCCCACCAGAGACACGAGTCACCACTGCCTCACCAGAGACACGAGACACCACTGCCCCACCAGAGACACCACTGCCCCACCAGAGACACAAGACACCACTGCCCCACCAGAGACACGAGACACCACTGCCCCACCAGAGACACGAGACACCACTGCCCCACCAGAGACACGAGACACCACTGCTTCACCAGAGACACGAGACACCACTGCCCCACCAGAGACACGAGACACCACTGCCCCACCAGAGACACGAGTCACCACTGCCCCACCAGAGACACGAGACACCACTGCCCCACCAGAGACACGAGACACCACTGCCCCACCAGAGACACGAGACACCACTGCCCCACCAGAGACACGAGACACCACTGCCCCACCAGAGACACGAGACACCACTGCCCCACCAGAGACACGAGACACCACTGCCCCACCAGAGACACGAGACACCACTGCCCCACCAGAGACACGAGACACCACTGCCCCACCAGAGACACGAGACACCACTGCCCCACCAGAGACACGAGACACCACTGCCCCACCAGAGACACGAGACACAACTGCCCCACCAGAGACACGAGACACCACTGCCCCACCAGAGACACGAGACACCACTGCCCCACCAGAGACACGAGACACCACTGCCCCACCAGAGACACGAGACACCACTGCCCCACCAGAGACACGAGACACCACTGCCCCACCAGAGACACGAGTCACCACTGCCACACCAGAGACACGAGCTACTACTGCCCCATTAGAGACACCACTGCCCCACCAGAGACACGAGACACCACTGCCCCACCAGAGACACCACTGCCCCACCAGAGACACGAGACACCACTGCCCCACCAGAGACACGAGCTACTACTGCCCCACCAGAGACACGAGCAGCCACTGCCTGCTGAGGTTTCTTGTCGGCCCTTCCGAGTTCTGGCAAAAGTTAAGTGAAGATTTAAATTTAATGTATTCAAAATTAAACGTGTCCAACGCTCGGGACGACTGCGGAAATTATGTGCATGTGATTCCCTTATATTGTGTTTGTTGTAGATTACTGGTGTTGTAACTGGCCACAAATAACTATAATGGATAGCTGGATGGTTTTCTCGGGAATACATACATGTATCGGAATTGGGGGCTCCCTTCATAATATTACCCATGATGTGGTGGATATGAGGTCGTAGACCCGAAGAGTTTTTGTCACGGATAACAGAATGATATCATGTCTATTGTTTTTTTCACCTCGATGGGGAACGTCTATCACGGACAAGAACAGTTTGACTCTACCAAAGAATAACCAAACAGCTTATAAATAATTACCCAAGCCAATGATAGTAATCTACATTGTGGCCCAAAAGTCAGGAAACATATGGTTAATTCATGTGAACACTGACATAACATTTTTTTATCGTTTATTCTTCTTCGATTAATAATAGTTAATATCTATTTTATTCTGCATTTTTGGATGACATTTAACAATGTAAATAAACTCTACTGAAGACGAACGACTTTACCAAGTCGTCTTTACGTTTGCTAAAGCAGACAGCTGTGATCTTTAAGACAAAAACGAGTCCTGAATTTATTGCAAAAGAGAATTCTCGCAAGGCATTAATGTTCATGGGAGCCAGTTTGAACGTTTGTGAAAATAAATTAAATTGACCCGATGTGATTTGTTCAAATATAACATGTTTTCCTGGCTTTTGTGCCACCCTCACTAATGACAATGGATGCAAATCGGTGAGAAGGCAGGAAAACAACATTGATTTCCAACCCCCAACCACCATCTGAAGCTCCCACCACTGCAATAACCTTAAATCCAGTGGCAACGAAGCCAATACTGTACGGCATTTACATTAATTAGCTGCATGCGAATGTTTCCCGCACAGTTAAATGCCCTGGGCTGTGCGTGCAAGTTGCTGTCGGTTGGGGAATAACGTGATTTAGAAAATTGACTAAATTTTCATCGATATCCTTGAATTACAAGGCGAAAGTATCTCCAGACTTTTTTAATCAATCCACCGCTGGAGTACGAATGAGTCAGTGTCTTCCCTTTGGCGGTGTTGGAGGGGGGGGGGGTTGTTAGATCGTACCTCACCACGCTTGGTTAGTGCAGTTTTGCGAGGAAGAGCCAAGAGCCGAGGTCAGACACCCACTTGCCACTGACGGTAACCGTGGTCATGGCCCAATTAATAATTTGCGCAACATTTCTCTCCGCATCATGGGAGCTCCTTTGCCAGTACCAAATATGAGAATAGGGTTTTTCCCCTTTTATCTGGCAACAAAACAGGTCTTAAGTTGATAATTGTTTTTTTACCCTTTTATCTGGCAACAAAATAGACACCTTTTTTACAAGGAGTCATGATTGCATTGACCACAATACCTGCAGTCGGAATGCAAACAAAAAAAACATAACTCTGATAATGTGCACTGTCCTTGAAATTGATTGGTGCACACCCGAGACAGCTTTCTTTAGAGCCTAGTCTCACATGTGTAGGACTAGATGACGCCAAAAGGCGTGCGCCTGTAAAAAAGGTGTCAGTTTTGTTGCCAGATAAAAGGGCAAAAAACAATTCTCATATTTTGATACTGGCAAATGAGGTTCCAATGGTGTAAAGGTCTTAAGTTGCTAAAACACCAAACTGAAACCTTTTACAAGGAATAATGCATGCATTAACCACAATACTTGCGGTCAAAATGCAAGCAAAAACATATTCTGATAATATATGTGTAATGGGTTCCGGAGACACTTGTAGATGTAACTTCTTTATTACAATACAACACTCCAACAGTCCTGATACTCTGTTACAGCCTAGGTACACAGCCTAGCTACACAGCCTAGATACTCTACTCTGGCTACGCTCTGGACTCGCCCTCACAAGGTCGTAGCGTCGGGAGTTCCAGAGTCCCAGCGCTGGCTCTCACAGCATCCCAGGGTCTTCAGATGGCTGGTCGTGGGTCTTGGGTCTTGAGTTACAACCCGCCCGATAGTCCAGGGAGCTCTCCTTTTATGCCTGGTCCGACGAGGGGTGGGTCTTGTGCGCCACCAGACATCCCACAGAGCACACACAGCCCCCCCCCCCCCCCCCCGTTGGCGGCGCCAAAAAGGCTTAAGCGCCTGGGAACCCAACGCCTGGCGCCCAAAGGCTTAAAAGCGTCTGGATCCCCTGGGAACCCAGTGCCTGGCGCCCAGAGGCTTACGCGTCTGGACCCACCTGGGAACCCAGAGCCTACAGCAGCCCCTCCCTTCTTATGTCACTACATTACCCCCCTCTACGTAGCCTCCAGCCGACCCGGCTGTCAAAAAAAAATACAATTGTACAAGAAATTATTTGTTAACCATCAGAATGAGTGTGTGACAATCAAGAAAAAAAAATGAGAAGAAAGCGCCTCTCCCCCTCCTGTGGTCACCGATGCAGAACAACACTGTATAAACACATATATGCAGGATGAACGCACGCCCCAATCGCCCACTATACATGATGGCAAAGTGAGTGGCGTCGCGTTGGGACGAGAGTTCGTGGGCGGGGGTCATGAAAATCGTTTGAGTTTTGAGCGAGTCCGAGTGGCAGGTCCATCGGTCGCGACGGAGGCGGGAGGGGACCGACGACCCGCTGTTGCGCTTGTGTCCTGGGTCGCTGATCCCGCGGGCAAGCTTGTTCCCGCTTGGTCGGCCGTGGCGGATTTCATTCCCAAGGCACCTGAGGGCGGGTCAGCGGGACCTGCCCGAGAGTTAGAAGCAGCATCATCGCGGCGCGGCTCGTCAGACATGTCGCGCTCTCGGCCCCGGAGAAGTGAAGGAGGTGTGTAGGGTTGAATGTAAGGTTTTAGACGTGACGGGTGCACGAACCAACGTCGCTTGCCATGCTGGATCCTGACACACTGCGGGCGGAGAACGCGAATAATAACAACCGGGCCTCTCCAAGGCTTAAGCAGTTTTTAGGAAGTAGCCAATGGTACCTGCGGGCAGTGGAGCCAGGCGCGGTCCCCTTCCACCCAAACGTGGCGGGATGTGCGGAGATTCCGCAACCGCTCGTTGGCAAGCTGACGGGCTTCTGAGTTATTTTGAGCAGCCTCCCGGGCATCCATGAGACGACGCACATTAGCACGGATGTGGTCGGCAATCTTAGCCTTAGGTGCGGGCTGTTTAATGTGCAATTGTACGTCGATTGGGGGGCAAACCTCCCTACCATACATAAGATAGAATGGCGAGTACCCGGTGGCAGCATGGGGCGCCATTCTATAGGCGGCCAAGACACCAGGTATGTGGAGATCCCAATCAGTCTGTGACTCAGACACCTGGTGGCTTAGCATGGAGGTAAGTGTCCTATGTAATCGCTCGACCATACCGTCAGTCTGGGGGTGATATGGCGAGGTGCGAATTTTGTGTGTCCCTAGCAGGTTGCACACATCCCACAACAGCGTGGAAGAGAAATTTTTCCCTTGGTCGGTCAGCAGGCGTTCGGGAGCACCCTTGTCCAGGACGTAGCCCTGGAAAAAGGCCTCCGTAATGGCTGCTGCAGACTGGTTGGGGAGTGGCCAGGCCATGGCCCATCGGGTAAAATATTCGACCCCAACCAAAAGGTACTTACTACCCCGAGGAGTAGCGGGAAACGGACCCAAAATATCCAATGCGACGATCTCATTGACCCGGGAAACTTTAATGGATTGGAGTGGCGGGCAGGACGGCCTAGCAGGTGGTTTCCGCCGTGCACATTCTGTGCAACCTTGCACAAGGTCAGCCACATCGTTTGCCATGCCCGGCCAGAAAAATTCCAATTGGATTTTAGCTAGTATTTTCTGAACACCCAAGTGCAAGAGGCGACTGTGGGTTTCCCACACAAGTCGCCCCCGCAGGGAGGTGGGCACCACCAATGTGTGGGATTGGGACCCCCCATCCCAATGCATGAGGACGCCTTCCCGGATGACATATGATACGGGGCCTCCCTGCCCCCTGTGACCCTCGGCATCCCTAGCGCGGCGACTCAATTTGAGGAGGGAGACGTCTTCCATCTGAAGACGTCCCCAGTCGTACAACCCGAGGCCCAGCAATGCGTCCTGCGGAACTTGCGTGGAGGGAGCCCCGTGGTCCCCGACCCCATCCCCGGCCGCGGCCGCAAGGGATGGGGGCGGTACCCCGTCAGGCTGCCTACAACGCCCCGCACCCAAAAAACAAGCACAGCGCCCATTGTTCGGCAGCCGCGACAACCCGTCGGCGTTCCCGTGTTGAATCCCCTTGCGGTAAATGACAGTGAACGCAAAGTCCTGGAGGATCTCGAGCCAACGCGAGAGCTGTACAGATGGTTGGTCCACTCGCAAGGCGTATTGTAGCGCCGCATGGTCGGAGCGAACTGTGAAATGCCTGCCATACACGTATGGCCTGTACTGCTTTTTGAAAAAAACGATAGCAAGCAATTCGCGGCGCGTCACGCAGTAACGTTGCTCCGCGGGCGACAGCACCCCTCCAATTCCGGTGTTGCTGGCGTCTGTATCCAGAATGAACGGAGTGGTAAAATCTGGATAAAACAGGGTAGGAGCATCGACCAGTGCTTTTCGGACGGCATTGAAAGATGCCTGTTCTAACTCTCCCCAGCGGAATTTGACCCCTTTGGCCGTCAATGCGTGGAGGGGCTTCGCGATGGATGCGAATCCCGCAACAAATCGTCGATAATATGAGGCGAAGCCGATAAAACTCCGCACCTCCCCAACAGAGGTAGGAGTTGGCCATGAGCGCACACAATTTGTCTTTTCGGGGTCCGTGGCAATTCCCGAGCGGCTGACAATATGGCCCAAATAACGAACCGAATCCCTCATGAGGTGGCACTTTTGCGGTTTGATTTTGAGGTTAGCCGTTCGCATTTTAAGGAAAACTGCCTTCAATCGCGTGAGGTGTTCATCAAAAGTTTTGCTGAACACGATTACATCGTCGAGGTAGATTAGGCAAGAATCCCACTGAAGCCCAGCGAGGACCAGCTCCATCAGGCGCTGGAACGTCGCCGGGGCCGAGTGAAGACCCATGGGAAGTCTGTTGAATTGGAACAGTCCCTGCGGCGTGCGAAAGGCCGTCTTTGGTTTGGATGCGTCATCAAGGGGTAGCTGCCAAAACCCCGAGAGGAGATCCAAGGTGGAGAAGTAATGCGCACCTGCTAAGGCATCGAGCGACTCGTCCATCCTGGGAAGCGGGTAGGCGTCGGCCACAGAAATCTTATTAAGTTTCCTGAAGTCAACACAAAAGCGGAGGCTCCCGTCGTGCTTCTTAACAAGAACGATCGGCGCCCCCCATGGGCTATTTGATGGCGCAATGACATCGGCCGCCAACATATCGTTGACGGCCACCCGTACATGTTCTTTTTCGGCCGGGCTCAACCGGAATGGGTTTTGACGAATTGGAGCGGCATCACCCGTGTCGATGTGGTGGCTTAGCAATTTAGTGCAGCCAATGTCGAATTTGCTTTGACTGAAAACGTCGGCGAAATCGCTCAGCAGCGTGCGTAATTTAGCATGCTGTAATGGTGACAAATCGGCAGAAGTGGAGCAAAGCGCGTCGAGCCATCCTGTGTCAGGACCTGGCTTGGCAACGGAAGAGAACTCGCCCCCTACGTGACCCACGATCACATCTTCTGGCGGGGCTGGCGTCGCGTGAGCAAGCACCATTCCCTGACAGATAACGGCCGTTTCCAATCCCGCGTTAAGGACCTGGATAAAGGGGTCGTGGTCGCTTCGCACGAGCGTTTGTGCACACACGAGGTCCGGCACCCGCTCAGCTGAACGCGAAGGCCCGATCACAGCACCCCCCATGAACGCGTCGTAATCAAGGGGTTTACGAAACCGGAGGGGAACTAACATCTGAGAGCCAGGAGGAATGTGAATTGTGCACGCCGCCAACGCCTGCACCGTCATAGATGCGGAGTGCAACCGAGTGGGTGTGGGTAGGAAGGCCATGCGTCGGCCGGAGGGGAGCTCAATACACCCTTTGTTAATGAGAATTTTAATGGGCATCTTCCCCAAGAAATCTGTTCCGAGGAGGCACGGAACGGCGAGGGTTGATGAGACCAAAATGGGCCCAACTAATTGGACGTCAGCAATGCGGATCTGAGCATTGATCCGTCCGGTGATGCCCAACGAACCCCCATTTGCGGCATAGCATGGCACATCAACTGGCTGCAAGGGACGGCATGTATCGGGCAAAATGTTATAAATTATGTCTGAAATGATGGTCGCCGACGCACCCGTATCGATCAACATACGAACATCAACGCCCTCGATGGAACCCACTACGGCAGAGGACCCTGCCGCAGCGGCAACGACCCTATGGGCCAACTCGGACCATTGACCCGGTCCGAGCGGCCGGTTGTTCAATGATGGGCCCGAATCCCCCTCCTCCGAAGCATGACCCCCCTGTGTGGTGTGAGGGTGCGTGCTTGTTGTAAGTGGGGGCCGAGAGTGCGAGGTGTCGTGACTCGCCTGGGTATGCCGAGGATAAGGTGGTGGCCGAGGCGCCGGAGGTCCTGAAGTCCGGCGTCGGGGGACCCGGCAGCCGGACGCCACATGGCCCCGAAGGCCACAGTTGTGGCAGACGATGGACGCTCCGTCCTGGCGCGAGGTTGGCCGGTCCCGCTGGTGGTGATCTCGCTGGGATCGCCAGTTGGACGATCCGCGATTTTCTGTTGCTGCGAAGGCCTGATGAGGCCCCGAATGCACGTCATAGGCTTGTGCATCAGGTGGGCCTGCGCAGGCGGCGATGGTCGTGTCCTCATCGCAATGTAGGTGTGCTTGGATGCACCTGGCAGCACGTAGCGACGTGAAGTCGTCGTCGTCGTCGGCTGTCGGCATGGCAACTCGAAGCTGGCGGGCCAAGCTCATGAGCTTCTGCAGCACGAGTGACTCCACAGCGTCTTCATCCATGCGAGGGTAGGCAACCTTCGCCATGGCCAGCAGCGCGCTGCGGTACCCCATCGCCGACTCGGAGGCCTTCTTCCTCCTCGCATCGAAGCGGTGACGTGCTTCGGATGGGGGTCCATAAATCAGCCGCATCTGATGAAGGGCATCCGTGAGCGTGGCACGTTTCGCGCGTGGCACAGCAAGGAGTGCTGCGAGGGAGTCGTCGTCGAGCATGGCCGGGAGGCCCTGGAGCGCTTCATACTCCGACCAGCCGGACGTCTCTATAAGAGAGACGAACCGGCGTTCGAACGCTGCCCACTCACCCCCCTCTGAAGAAAATGCCTTGAGTGCTGGCAGGCGTTGTTGGACGTGAGCCAAGCTTCCGTTGCCTGGCAACCCGGCTGAAGCTGGCTGCGCGTTCGCAGCGCTCTCACTCGGCGGTTGCAAACAGCTGTCACCCGGCGGTGAGGGACGCAGCGCTGACGACGCGGCGTTGCTGGGTTGCCAACAGCTGTCACCAGGCGGTGAGGGACGCAGCGCTGATGACGCGGCGTCATCGGGATGGCCCACGCTGGGCCCGGAAGTGACGTCGCTCCCAGCGGCCACTGCTCCCCCCGCAGAAGTGACGACACACCCGGATGTGTTTGTGTTGGAGCCGGCGGGATGGCGCGGTCGCTGCGCCGCCTCTCTCTCTCCTGCCTCCGCCTGTGAGCGACGCATGTCGTCCAGGATGGAGACGGTGGCGTGGAGCAGCTCGGTGAGGCGAAGCAGCGTTTCCTCCATTGCTGCTCCCGACGCTGGAGGAGGATCGGCAGGTGTGGTGGACGCCTGCTCAGCCGGTGGTGCGGCGTTGTTGTCGGCCCGAGTTGGCTGCCCCGTCGCCGCTTGCTCCTCAACATCGCCGTCAGGACTGAAGGTACGTGGCTTACTTCTTGTCTCCATTGCCACCTCTGACGCCAAATGTAATGGGTTCCGGAGACACTTGTAGATGTAACTTCTTTATTACAATACAACACTCCAACAGTCCTGATACTCTGTTACAGCCTAGGTACACAGCCTAGCTACACAGCCTAGATACTCTACTCTGGCTACGCTCTGGACTCGCCCTCACAAGGTCGTAGCGTCGGGAGTTCCAGAGTCCCAGCGCTGGCTCTCACAGCATCCCAGGGTCTTCAGATGGCTGGTCGTGGGTCTTGGGTCTTGAGTTACAACCCGCCCGATCGTCCAGGGAGCTCTCCTTTTATGCCTGGTCCGACGAGGGGTGGGTCTTGTGCGCCACCAGACATCCCACAGAGCACACACAGCCCCCCCCCCGTTGGCGGCGCCAAAAAGGCTTAAGCGCCTGGGAACCCAACGCCTGGCGCCCAAAGGCTTAAAAGCGTCTGGATCCCCTGGGAACCCAGTGCCTGGCGCCCAGAGGCTTACGCGTCTGGACCCACCTGGGAACCCAGAGCCTACAGCAGCCCCTCCCTTCTTATGTCACTACATATGCATTGTCTTTGAAACTGATTGGTCTCTGGTGTGGACCAATCAGTTTCAAAGTCAATGCACATATTATCAGAGTATATTATTTGTTTGCATTCTGACCACAAATATTGTGGTTAATGCAGACATGATTCCTAGTAAAATGTTTCAGTTTGGTGTCTTAACAACTTAACACCTGTTTTGTTGCCAGATAAAAGGGAAAACCTATTTTCATTTCTCTCCGTATTCTCAAGAAAACAAAGTTGAATCTTGACTTAAAGCTTTCGTGACTGCAGGAATTCATATTCTTGGGTCTTTCGCTAAAGTCACATAGATAGGTTAAATTTTTTTTATTTTCTTTGAACCTATCTACGTGACTTTACCGAAAGACCCAAGAATAAAAACGAAGTTGCTTTAAAAACAAAAATGATGACCTAAAATGTATTTGGACATTACACATATCAGATTAAAGGATATTATTGGTTTGATACCATTATTGCAATGTATGAAGACTAGTTTAAACGTTTTTGAGATTTGGATATTAAAATGCTGTAAAATATGTGTATGTATGTTGAACTTCTTTCACACCGTACGTAGGCAACCATGCTACAATGACAATAGTTTAAAGCGATTTGAAGCATGTTTTATTTTGGGGGGGGGGGGAGCTTTGTGACGTCATATTTGAGGGGGGTCTGACTTTTTGTGACGCCGTGTGATGAGGAGGAGGGGGGGGAGGTCAAAACTCGTCCAAAATCGAGTGACGTCATTTATGGACTGATCATCTATATATATAAAATCGTGAATCTGTCTGTCTGTCTGTGTGTCTGTGTGTCGCCGGACCATACGCACTTTCATTGGACGGCGGTTGCCCCTGGCAACGGGTAGCGACGCCTTCGCCGCTTTCATTGGACGGCGGTTGCCCCTGGCAACGGGTAGCGACGCCTTCGCCGCGGGGTGGACGCCATTTTTTATTCCCGTTAAAAATAGGCGCACGCATTAACACGCGACTCTGAGGTAAATTCATCAAAGTTTCACGTCCTCTTCACTCCCCCCCACCACAATGTGTGCAATTACTATTATAGGGTCGGTCGATTATTAAATTATAGCGATTAGACAGTATTATTGTAGCGCGGGGGGGGGGGGACCGCACCCGTACCCAGCCTCAACCGGGTGGGAAAATCAGGCGAGGCCGGAGGCTCTGCACGGTGCTAGGCCTCGACACCCACCAATCGACTCTGAGGTAAATTCATCAAAGTTACACGTCCTCTTCACTCCCCCGCCACTCCAATGTGTGCAATTACTATTATAGGCTCGGTTAATCATAAAATTATAGCGATTACACAGTATTATTGTATCGCGGGGGATCGGCGCGCCTCACTAAAACCCTACAACGGATCGGCGCGCCTCACTAAAACCCTACAACGGATCGGCGCGCATCACTAAAACCCTACAACGGATCGGCACACCTCACTAAAACCCTACAACAGATCGGCACGCCTCACACAAACCCTACAACGGATCGGCGCGCCTCACTAAAACCCTACAGCGGATCGGCGCGCCTCACACAAATCCTACAACGGAAGCGTAACGCAATGTAGTGTCGTGGTTAGCGCGCCACGCTACGAACCCGGCGACCCGAGTTCCATTCCCGCTCACGGCCACCACCGGTGACGATTATTTGAACCGGTCCTGGGCCTCCCCTAGGTCGACTCAGCCTCAAAACGAGTAACTGGTGTGGCGTATTAACATTGCCACTGGGGAGACAAAGGCGGCCGGGCGTGGTGGATACAAGTCCCGGGCGAAGCCGGGTAGTACAGCTAGTAGAGTATAAACGAGCACACCTATTAAGCTGAAGACATGTTTTTGCGTGTAACAAAATATCGAATGTATGTAAAACTTACGAGTTGTCCATATACTCGCGAGTGGTGAGCGTATGGACAACTCACTCTCTGCATAGATCACGTGGTCTAAACTGCAAATACAATACAAATGTGCGCCTCACCGCAGCAAGCGGACACAAAAAGGCATCCCTGGATGCTTTAGAGCTTAGTGAGAAGGCAGACGAGGGACAAAGTTGTGATCTCACCGCCTGTGCCGTGACGGTGCAACGCGGGGAGACTGCCGTGCAGTCGATGGTGAGCAAACTGAGCACGTGATCCAGATGGCACCGGTTCGTGCTCCTTGGGAATTTCGTAATTCAATCGGCGGAGAAAGTTTTCAACAAAATCTCCTCACCTCTGTGCTCCCAGCAGTAAGTGGCTAAAACCACAGTTAGTTGTTTGGCAGGCTGCATTCGGTGGATTAGAGTGTGGGTATTCCCACATCTTTCAAGACATATGGAAGAGTGGATGGGTCTTGCACCAGCAGTGGCCTGAGCAACATAATTTCACAGCTGCACCGCTTCACTTGATAGCACAAACTTTCTCTCTCCGCGAGTTCTGGATTCTGCGAGTTTCGCATACTCGCGAGTCACTGAATGCGTACTAATTCCCGATTCGCGAGTGTACGCGGTGCCTTACAGATCACCGACACCAGGCAAGCCACCTCGGCTGCCCGTTTCGTCCTCAGCCCCGCAGTAATCCTGCGTACCACGGATAGGCAATTACCTTGCAACGCCTCTGCACTCGCAATTGCGTATTTTACTTGCTACGTACTGTACTTGCTTGTTAATTGCCCTTAATCCTGGCACCCAGGCGTCCAACGGGAGAGTGTGTCTGCAATCTTCCTCTCTTCCCATTGCCTCTCCCGAGGAGTCATCCTCCTGAATTGCTCACCATCACCACCGCCTCCATCGTCGTCAAATCATCATCATTATCAAAGTAAAAAAATATATAGCGTTCTGCACAATGTATGCATGATTTATCGTTGTCATTGTTGTTAAACATTTACTATGTCCCTGCTATGTTCACTTGTACCAGGAACGTCACCACATTTTTCCCGTTGAACAAAGTTTCAGCATTCGCCAGCATTTTTTAGAACGTAACCCTCGCGAATAGAGAGGTTTTGCCGTATATCATCATGTCATGCAGATATTATTGGCCGGCGGCACTGTCCTAAATCACTGTGCTCAATTTCCGAATTGGCTTCTGGGGTTGGTAAAACAGGTACCACATTGTCGAAGCTCAACATTGCTCATCCTTTGGGCGAGACGTTTCCCACCGAATGGATATGGACTTTCCACCAGTGGCTCAGGACCACCGGTGGAGCTGATCACTGGCCATTGCTCATTTTATAACGAGGGCCCTAATTGTTACAAGTGAGATTGAAGGGAACTTTAAGCAAAAAATCCTAAGCTACAGCGATAACAGATCGTCACAATTCCTTGTCGTAAAAAAAATCCTTTTCAGAATGCACGGGCACAAGTGAAGTATTGCCCTATTCTCAGAATAATGAGTAGGTGGGGGAAAAAAAGTTATTTTCTTTGCGAAGTGATTTGGGACAGAAGGCAGGAGAAAGTGCCTCATAGACGTGTCAGGGCCAGACAACAAATTTAACAAAAATGGAGATTTGTATCTGGTGCATATATGAATGGCAAAAAAGTGGAAGGGCTAGGGGATACACATATACTGTATATACATAATTATCCTTTTCATGTGGCTAGAGTGATGTGCCTAGCAGCAGAATCCATTTGAAGTTTGTGAGTTATGCAGCGTTGCACTACACACGCTAGAAATCATGAAGGCGTGAATGTGTCAGCAGTTCACGGGTAAGGAAGATGCTTTTGAGACTCTGTTAGGGGGAGTTTTTTTAATGAGAAATGTGAATGGAAAAGACGAGCCCGAGTTAAGGAGGACATCAATATTATACACCTTCATAGCAAGTTTGAGGGGCGGAGTTCAGGAGAAACGGCTATGTTATTGAGTCGGAGAAATTAAGCATGAGGTGAGCTCGGCTAAAGTATGAAGCACAGATGACTTGTATGAAGTCTGAACGTATAAAGGTAAAGGTTGCATCGCTGCAATTGCTTGCGCACAGCACCACAGTGTTGGCAGCAGGGCCTCCACTC